TCTTGAATTTAAAAGATTGTAGGGTTTGTGTATTGTAGGGGTAGTGCATGTTCACCTGTAAACAATTAAAGAAGAAGCATACAAAATATGGTTTATACTATGGATCATTTATTCTCTTTTTTTATATAAACTATAGTGAAACAAAGTTTTCAATGTCTCTTGGGTAAGTTGGTTTTCTTTTTGGTGCAGAAGTTATGGCAAGTAAGGTTAAGCATTTTTATAATGGCCGAGTTCAAGTCAGCCTTGCACTGAGTTGGAATAACCAAAGAAAGGTTGTACATATTCCATCAGTAGTTGTAATGGTCAAGCTTCAGTCAGCTTTGTGCTGAGTTAAAACAATCAAAGTAAAGCTTGTCTTACTTCATTGGTGGAGTATCTGTTTGGTTATTATGGTAGAACTCAAGTCAGCTTTGCACTGAGTTGGAACAACCAAAGAAAAGACTTCATAGATATAGGATTTGGAAGACACGTGTAAATGCCATGAATTGGAAAGTGGAAAAAGAGTTCTCATCAGTGGACCTGGTAAATGAAAATGCCCCAACAGGGACATAATTTCCACATAGTGCTACATCTTGGAGCAAGGAGGAGAAAGAGGAAAGAAAATATTTGTCTTTTTATAGGTTTAAATAGTGCTGATGAAGCCAAATCGGGTAATAAAATTTCTTGTTCCTTTATTACTAGCATCATGAGAGATAAAATGTATTTCTTTTTTTTTATTATTCATTATTATTATTTTATTTATTGATTTTATTTAATTTTCCCTACAATACAAACAAGAGTTTTCTTTTTTGAACTGAGTCATTGTAGATTGTTTGTTCCAATTGCTTTTGATGAATCTATTAGACATTTTTAAGGATTTTTAGTTGTAGTATTGCAAATAGTATATAAATGCAATTGAAAACATTCTGGAAGTTATTGAAAATTAAATATATTATTAATTTATGAAAATGGCCAGTGTAGTGCAGCAGTGTTCATAGTTGATGTTGTTAAGTTTATTTTTATGAGAGCTTCCATTTTTTTTAGATTCTTTTTGCAGTTGGAGGTCTGTATTACACCTGTGTTCTCAACAAGCATGTTTTGTGTTAAGGTTAATATGTTTCCACGCTAGTTTAAATGTGTGAGTTTGAGTTCTGCTTTGAGAGATGTAGGCTAAGCCATCTTGATAAAGCAGTATAATCATTTATGAATTTGTTTTTGTTGAGAATGCAGTTCCCTGTGGGACATTTGAATTCATATATTAATTTTGGTTTTATATAGTTTTGATTTCACTGGTGACCTGTTATTACTGATGATAAGGTTAGCTTTTTGAATTTTTTATAATAGATAATAAATTTAATATTTTTAGTTTGTTCAACTGGGGTGATGAATTTATTTTTCTTAGAGTGAATTTGTCCTGTTTGTAATTTCTGTGTATTTAGTTTCAATAAATATATTAATGTTGCTATTATCTCTGTGAACTGTGTTTTTATAGCTTAGTTTTGAAAGAAACAATTTAATTTAGTTATCTATAAAGTAGTTAGGGAGACTGTTATTAACTAGTGTTTGCTTTATGCTAGTGAGTTCTTTCAGGAATAGCAAGTGTGAAGATCAAACCATCTGTACTCTCATTAAGAAATTTTTTATTACCACTAATTTGTATATAAATGAACTTTCACTATTACAAGTGAAATGGCAACAGTTTTTACTTCTGGGTGTCTTATATAGTGAAGTAAAATCTGTTGTTATTAGATTCTATGACAACATCTAAGAATGGAATTTTGTTGTTATGTGATGTTGTCCCCCCTGGTCGCAGCGTCGACTGTGTCGTTCGATCCTGTTCGCGACGCCAGCTGTTCGCTCCTCGCTGCTCCAAGTGTGACGTTCTAACCCTTTGGCTAGATGAATATCAGCCTCGTCGTTCCCAACCCGCTTCCAACGCCTGGTTACCAGGGTAACTACACTGATCTCCAGTCTGTCTACCCACGTTGTGATTAGATCTTAGACAGACGGGATCAAACAGGGATTGGGCCGTATGCAAGCTGAGTCCAATGGGGGTGATAACACACAAGAAAAATAAAAACTCACAAGGTCAAAAATATTGAAGAAAAAAGGTAACAACTTTTTATATCTATTTGCTCGTTACACAAGATTATTCCTACCTCCCGACCCGTTCTGTGGCCCGTGGCACCAAGCTTCTACCATACAACTTTAAGGCTTTGAGTTGCCTGCTCTCTAGAAATTTGCATTTCGGGGTGTGGTTTGGTTTCGACACTGGGCGCTGATCTCTACCTGTCGTTCACGGCTGATTTCTCTCGCCGTCCGTGGCTGCAACTAACTCTCTCTTCAGAGTCTGAATTATTGTTCACTCATCTCCGCTGTCAGTGCGCGAATTAACTTCTTCTCTTCAGCTTCGGTTGGACGAGCTTATTCACTTCGGCTTGGGTTGGACGAATTTCTTCACTTCGGTTTGATTCCAACTTCTCCACTTAGGCCAAACGGGCTGCTTCACTTCGGCTTCTCTTGCCCGCAAGGGGGCTAATGAACCGGGCCCGCTGTCCGCACTCAAACTCCATCGCCGTCCGCGCTGCAACTCCAACTGATTTCTGTCGGTTGGGGTCCCGCTTTTATTGAGGCAGTCAAAAACTGGGGTGGGTCTGTCGGCGCCAAGGTTTTCTTGATAATTCTAAAGACGTATTATTTCTGATTAGGGATTTTCCATTTTCGGTAACTTACTTTCACTCCTACTTCCTTACTGTGCCCCGGGGGGGGGCGTATACCCGCTTCCCCTGGTCCTTCGTATGTCAGGTGACCGCTCTCGAACAATGGGGTCCTGGTTGGGCATCTTTCCTCCTCCCTCGCACATCATGTGACCGCTCTCGGCCAATGGGGTCCTGGTCGGGTGTCTCTCCTCCTCCCTCATGTATCATGTGACCGCCTTCGGCCAATGAGACTCTGGTCAGTATCTTTCCTCCTTCCTTCGTGACGTCTTTAATCGGGCGTGGACAATCCGTGGCTTTGTTCTGGGGGAAGAAACACCTTGCTTAAAGAAACAAAAATTTAAATTGTCCTTTTCGTATGTGATCGAAATGACGATCCCGGTTTCTTTTACACGCGGTATTTGTCAAACATCCTATCGCTAATTGGATACGATCTAAGAAAGGGATTTCTTAGACCTGTCGGCGTTTCTCTGAACGCAACAAAATATTTCATTCTCCTCCGGCCGATAATAAAAATCTGTATTATCTCAAAAAAAAGCATTTTCTAATCATCATCTTGTGTGGCTGTATTTTCAATTCTGGAATTGTCTGGGTTCTCGTATTAATGGATTGTCTGTATATCCTTAGATAAACTTCCCACCTGTTACCTATCATATTTTTTCCATTGTCTCTAAACTTTATTTCTTCAACCAAATTGATAACAAACTTCCATCCTCCGCGGACACGGAAGTAGGTCAGGTGCTTGACCTGATATTTTTGACATCTGATATGTGCCAGTCAAGCGTGTGTGTTTTCGCTTACGACCTGGTTTCGTATTATTTATTTTTCTCCTTTCTTTCCTCTTCCTCTTCTTTTCTTTCTTTCTCCCAGATCGCCTGAACGCAATTAAAGAATTATTCTCAACCCCGAAATATTTTTCAGCTCTAAATAATTATCAAATGGTTAACAAACCGAAAAAACAAATCATATATTTATGAATATCTCTTTTCAGTTTTCTAATTATGCATGGTGCCACAGTTATTGCTATGTTCATAAGTGAATTTTTAAATGTAGTTTTTAGGTGTTCAATTTTTTTTTATTGCTGGCTAAAATGAAAATATCATTTACATACTTGATGTAAATTTTAGGTTTTATATGGTTTTTGAAAATTTTGTTTCTAGTATGAGACATATTGCAATTAGAGAATATGTTAGTTTGAGAGGCCTACCCATATTAACTCTCCATTTGTTTGATTATATATGTTGCCATTGTAAGTGTAAAAGGAGCCTTCACTTATGCAGGCATGTAGCAGTTCTTTGAGAATATTAGGTTTGATAGGTGGTGGTAGAATTGAGTTATGTTGAGGGAGGGAAAATTACCAACTCCAGACAAGGCATTGGATAACCAATGATAAAAGTGAACAAAAGCTTTTCTTTAAACAAATAGAATGGCTGATAGCACAAATTTTAAATAGTTTTAATCAAACTGAAGGAATGCATGCATAACAAGACACAGTATATCGATCCTGATTGCACATGAGGTTGTATATCTGTAGGCCAGAGTACCTATACAAATCAACGTGCATTGGTGAAAGTATCTTCAGTAAGCATGTGAGTACTGGAACTAGGCCTTGTATCAATAGAAGAAGGTACCTAACCTGATGAATCTTATTTTCTTCTGAATAAGGCAGATGGCAGGGTATGTGTGCATCATTATCCTACTGGTGAAATGCAATACCCACCATTCTATTTGGTAATAGACGTTGAGCCTTCCTGCTAATAACCCATAATATTATGGGTTATTGGCAGGAAGTTTTCATCAGTGTCAAGTTACTTGCCAATTATATTATCGGCATTTAAGCAAACACGTGGCATTTCAAAGAATTTTTCTTCAATAATTCAAGAAAGTTAAGTATTTTAAACTATCTCTCTTCATCTACTTTTGAACATATGAAAAATATATATCCTTTCTCTGAGCAACAAACTCTCTTACTTTTGTTTTAAACATTTTTGAATTTTGTGTCAAGTCATTTAATCTGTTTTATGAACATTTCCTCTTCATGACAATTTGTTAAAACTACGGACTTTAAAAATTTGTTTTATTTTCCTGAAGCAAACTACTGACACAACTTAAAGCGTGCAAATTCATAAATAAATTCTTGATATTGTTTTGTTAAAACTTATTTGTGTGGTTCCTTGTTATTATCATCTTCCATTAATCCTCTTAGTGTGGGTAAATCAACGGTTCATTTTAACCCCTAAACCTCATGGTACTGTAGCTCTAAGAAGTTATATAAAAAACACTTACAGTTCATTTAGTTAGGCTTACAGCCATATTATGTTGAAACACTAATTCCCGTATGATCATTGAAGCAATGTTGAGCCTGGTCAGTACTTAGATGGGTGACCACTTGGGAATACCAGGTCCTGTAAACTTGGATGTGTGGGTGGTGTAATGGATAATGGCTTGGAATTGTTAATTGGAGAGCTGAGTTCTAGTTGGATTCATTACATTCACTTACATGCAAATACTTTTAGGAAAGCTATATATCGACCTCTTCTCCACCTCTGTTTTGAGTAGATTAGTAAGACTTGTATCATTAAATCATTATTATCTAAAAAAAAAATATTCTTACAATTTAAAAATATTTTCTGGCTTTAAATGACTTGCAAGGTTTGATAAGTAAAAAAAAAAACTAATCAATCATTTAGTTAACAAAACAAGATAATTAAAAACTACAAGAAAAATCCCTAATAAAATAGGTTTGTTTAAGGTTTCCATGATTTCTGACAATTCCAAACTAGAAACATAAAAAAATCAACTTTTTTTTTTCCACTTTAATTACGAAAAACGATTTCCAGCCGTTTTATGGTTTTAATGTACGAATAACCCTAACTGTTAGTATTGTTTAAAGTGGCATGTTGTTATTTATTACAATGACTGGGCTACCATACACTAAAGTAACTCACGTCACCGTTACTATTCCCGGGCGCACTTCTCGCCGAATCTCGTCAATTCACGCGACAACAACACATGAGTTTTATGGAAACAAATATGTCGCACAACGGCTGCTTAAACGAGTTTATGCCGCTACTTACCGTGTCCGTGGTTGTCGTCTACCTTTCTAACACCGGAACAAACTGCCACAGGAGCTAGCCGACAGAGTGGCAAGACTGACATGATTCGCTTTGTGCGCAAATCTCGAAGAAAGGGATGAAGAAAGCCGTGCAGAAGAGAGATGAGCTGAAACCTGAAGTCGACAAAGCCAGGAGAGTTTACAGGTAAAGTAAAAAAAAATATCCACACATGGAAAAAAAAAAAAAAAGAAATAGAAAAAGAGGCAAATGACCGAAAGAAATCGAATCGATTGTCTATAACAAGTCCTACTCTTGGTTTAGGTTTATCCATATTCCTTCATCCGAGTTTAAGCTCATTTCTTTCTTTTTTTTTTTTTAATTTTTTGTTTTTATTATTTTTTTTTAGAAAGATTCTGAGATGTTAATTTTATTTTTAATTGTGTGACTATCTTAATTATTTTCTAACTTAATATTTTGTTAATCGATTTCGTAACTATAAATCAGCTGTTTTAATTAAATTTCATGTAGGATCTTAAGAAAAAGATGTGAAAATTGAAGTAATGAACAAGTTAATATCAAAGTTTTTGCCCTTTTCGGAAGTCAAATTTATCTCGGAATTTTTAAGTTGTTTTCTTTTAATGAGGAAATATTTACTGGATTTTCTTTCAAATAATCTTTCTAAAGCTTCTCATTCTAAAAGTTATCCCTCTTGAACGTATTTGTAAGAAAATTACAGAGAAAAGTGACCATTTCAAATTGGAGTCCGGACTAAAGTTTTTCACTTGGATCGGATTCGTGTGAAATGATCGCTGAAAGAAACCTTAGAAATAAGAATCTTAACTTTACAGGTTGGATGAATGAAATAACACTAAGTTCTTTGAAATTGATTTATTTTCTTACAAATTGCTGTACGCTAGCAACTTCTTTGTTTATTTAATTTATTTATTTTATAAAAAAAGCACAACTTTTGAGAATTCATATTTGTCACTTTTTTACGGATGACAGGTCACTTTAAAATTGGTGTGTAGTGTAGGCGAGTTCTTATCAATTGAGTAAAAACAGTGTTCCTTGGCAGAAAATGAAAGCGGTACTAAGTAAAACTAAAAGTAAAACCATCATTTATCAAAGAATTGTAAAGTAAATCATTAACAATAACGTGAAAATCCTATTTGTTTAAGTTGTATAAAAACTGGAAGAAATAAAAAAACTGCTCAGCCTCCCGTACGTAAAGTTTTTTGAAAGTTTGTGGTTAAAAAAATAATCCATAAATACGATCAAGTGTTATTTTCTAACTTATATTTATTAAAATTCGTTAAAGAATTAGAATTTGTAGTGTCATGGCTTTCAACAAAAAAGGAAGTTTAGTACTTTACTTTTTTGGCGGAGGAAGAATAAGAGTTTGTGTTAAATAAAAGTAAAATCTTATCTTCGAAATAAAGACAAAAAATCAACATCTTTTGAGTTCAACTGATTTTGTTTTTAATAAAAATGAAATCGATTATGTATGAAAACTAAAAAGACCAAATAAATAGCAAGTTTAAAAATGAAAGTGATGTTACGTTATCAGGTCCGTTAATTTTTGTTCAAAGACTCAACTGTTTTTAATATTTTTTACTTAGATAATAAATAGGAAAACTGCAAGTTTCATTTTTAAAAGATTCTATAAATCGAAACTTGCAGTTTTCCTATTTTCTTTTATTTGAAAATCACTAAGAAAAATCACATGGCTATATGACAACTTATTCAACACTTTTTAAAGTTAAAGATAAATAAAAAGTTTTATTTTTTGCTATCAATCTCTAAATTATTTTTAGAATAAACAAAACTAAAAATGTGATTGCGTTGTTAAATAAATAAAAAATCTTACCTTTTTAATTTTACTTAATCAGATGTTTATCATTTTATTCTCCAAATAAATGTACTAAAAATATTTGCACAAATAAAAATGGTAGACAAACTTTTAAGAACGGATATAACAAATTTAAAAATCGCCCGATAATGAAATTTTGTATTTTTTGTTTTTGTAGCCACATGATTACTTGTTGTTTTGATTGTTATCTTGCCTATGTTCAATTAAATAGGAATTTTTTTTCTAAATCAGATTTCAACAGTTACTGGTAAAAGAAAACTTTACAATTTACAATACATCATTTTTTTTTTTTATACTTCAAAAGCAGAGTAACAAAAAAAACTTTAAAGGTGAGTGTCCGACACCTTCCTTAAGCTTCTTGCTCAATTTTGGAAGCAATTAAAAAAAAAACATTTTTTCCTATAATTTTTTTAATTTATTTCTATTAATCCAGAAGTTAAATTGAAAATCTAATTTCTTTTACACCAGTTTCATATTTTAAAAAGCAATGTTTTTGGAAACACTAACTAAATTCTTTTAAAAAAATCGAATGCACACAGATAGCACTTAATAATCCAACCACGGAATTTAATTTCGTCTGTTCTCCCCGCCCCTCCCATATACACACACTTATTTTTCAAGCAAACAAATATATATGTCTACCTGTCACTTATTCCTGTTTTAATTGGTCTGTTATTTTTCACTACTAAAGCATGTCCTTGCGATCCTTTGACACCGTCGCGTAAACATTCGACACCGGGTATTTGATTGTTTGCTACACATGTGTCCCTGACTAGTAAACTTGTGTAGTTAGTACCTCTTCTTACTTAGTCTTCGTATTCAGTTCTTCTTGGTATCGTATTATTTTTATGATTAAAGGAAAATTATCAAAGTCTAAATTTACTTTGTTACTAGAATTTTTTTTTTCCACGACATTTTAACAGTTAACCGTAACGCCACCAATATTTGTCGGGGTTACATTTTTTTGTTTAGTGCGCGTAAAACTGTATCCCGCTTTTTTTTTTTTTGTTGTATTTCGAGTATTTTGTAGACACTGTCAAACATTTGAGTGCTAAATCAAGATTGTTATTTTTCTTCCTGGAGATTGATATTTTCCTCGATTAAATGTAAAATTGTAAATTTATTCCACGGAAATCCTTAAAGTGAAGTGCTACCATTTTTTTGAATTGATTTATTATGATTTTTATACCAATTACTAAGAAAATGGTACGGTATCGGAATATCTTCATTAAACTGAAATTTATTTTAGTTTTAAATTATTAGGGTATTGTTCTGAGAGGGAATGACATCAGCACTGCCTTTGCATAATTACTTGTAATTTTCATTTAAGAAAACTTGAAAGAATGATTGAGGAATCACTTTTTTCTTTTCATTTTTTTTTTGTATAGGTCTCTTTCGTTGCTTTACCGTGCTTCATATTTTGAGCACACATTCCAACTCCATTTTTAAACATAAAAAAAACTCAATTTCTATGACCAAACGAAAATAATTAAAAAATAAAACTAAACAGATCCATATTTTTTGGATATGCCATTTTTACATGTCTTAAAAATGCAAAATAATTTATGTCACAACTAAAAATATAGAGATTTGCATCTAAATTTGAAAAATTTACGTCTAAGCTCACAAAAGCAGGATTGTATTTATTAGGAAAAAAGTGTACTCAGAATATGAGACTCAGTAAAATTTAGATATGGTTCCAGAAGTAAGTTGAATCTTGAATTTTATTTTTTTATTTCTAGTAATAATAGGAATATAAGACTAGGTAAAGCAATCTAAGGGAAGTAATTCAGTACTTAATATGCCAAAAATTGTTTTGAATGCTAAAATGAAAAATATCCTATTTATCTTCTCCATTAATCCTTTTCCAAAGGTATTAGTGTGAAGTGATGAGACATTTTCACATGAATGGTTCCTGACAAGAGAAATATCCATTTTGCAAATGGACAGTGAAATAACCCAAATAATTGTTAAATTTCTATTAAAAAACATTTTATATGTTCATTATAATGATGAAAAGTTGCAACAAATATTACAATCTGACAATGAGTTGGATTTTTTTTTATTCATGTTATTGGAGTTAAAAAAAAATTTAGTGAAAATACCTCAAAATAATATCTTCCTGAGAAATGGATCAAATATATATATATATATATATATATATATATATAAAAGTTTCAAATTAAAAATTATAATGTTTTATTTTATGAAAATATTTATTTATTTATATATATATTTGATATTTCAAATTGTCCTCAATTTTTCATCAGAAATAACTGTTTGTTACAAATAAATTAAAATTACTGTTTGTTGGCAAGTAGCGTCCTTCGAGAGACGCGGATGTCACGTGATATGGAACGTCACTGTTCAGATATTCCTAACTTAAATCTAACTGTCATAAATATTTTAAAAATATTTTTTTTACTATATCTAAAGAAATTGCTTAGCTATTGAAATATTTATAAAGATTTAAAACACCTAAGTCCCTATTCAACCCTAATTTATGTGTATTTAATTTTAAAATCCAATATGTTTTTTTTTTCTGCGTGTGAATGTGGAAGTAAAATCGAATCTATTAATAAACATTTGCAGTTTTCTAATGTGTGTCCTGATTGATTGTAGTGTTTAGCTATGGGGGAATAAGGGTTGTTTTGATGTATTGTTTGTTTATGGTTATTAAAACGAAATCTAAAATTGTTTCCAGACTCACCAATATATCCACTATTAGGACATAAGTTGCAGAATAAATAATAGATTACGTTATGGGTATCGCAGGTGAGGTTAGGTGGCTGTATCCTGATATTGGTGTTGGGTACGTAAAATGTATTAGCTATTACTAAATGTTTGCAAACTAAGCAACGAGGTTTGTTACATTTGTAATTTCCTGTTTGGTTTCTATTGTTTAGATATTTGGTAGAGGTGAGGATAGCTGATAAGTTAGGTGATTGTTTCATTGCATTTATGGGTGGTTTATCGAAAATGTCTTTGATCTTGTTGTCTAATTGGAGGTTCTTGTAATCATTTTTAAATTGTGAATAAGTGTGTGGGAATATTGATTGTGGTTAAAACCATGGGAATCCGATTGTTGTTTTTATTTTTCTTGTATGTGAGAAGTGTGTTACGATTTATCAGGATAGTTTTATTTAGTGCTTCTTTTTTATTTTTTATTGGGTATTTGCATTTTAGGAATTGTTTTGTTAAGTTATTAATATTGTATAGAAAATCTAAATGGTCTGAGCATATGCTTTTGGTTCTAAGAAATGAGCTGTATACAATAGATTTTTTTTAATTTAAAGGGATGACAGCTGTTAAAGTGCAGGAATTTATGTTGGTT